TTATTTATATTTCACTTTTTTGTTATATTTCTACCTTCTATCTCATCAGGGGTTGTTGTTTCTGAACCAGATATGGTCATCTCCTGCTGGCTTCGCCCAAGGAACTTCATAAACATGTTTTTTTAAAAGCTGCTCTACTTATTTTTTACTATTAAAAATATTTGAAAAGAGGAGGGCAGGGGTAGATACTGGGCAAGGTAATCTGTACAGAACCCTGCAGCACTGTTGTCAGAATGACTAACATATTGGAAGGCTGTATTACTCATTCACTTGATCTAAGCATCATTTTCAATTCATATATTTGCTGGTATACCATCTTAGTAGCAAACCAGTGCATGCCTGTTGAGAATATCACCAAATTCAGTGGGGCTTTCTTTCAGCCTGAGAGGTGTGCAGGAAGAGTGGTAAACTTGTGGCCCTCCAGCATTCACTGAAGACAATTCTCAGCAAGCCTAGTCAATAAAGCCATTGAAGAAAGATGCTGGCAACTGTAGTTCATCCAGAAGACTGCAAGTTTTCCCTTTCTAAGAATGGTAGAATTTTAGCTGAGTGTAGAACAGGAATATTGGCTCCATAGCTTCAGTCTAGTGCAGTAGTTCAGAATATTAACTTGGTAAATAAATCTCTGCTCAGCATGGGTTTTTGATGTTAAAACTAGCTTGCCCTTCAAGATGGCTGTTTACTTGAATGCATCAAATATTACAAAAGGATTTCCTCCTAGAACACTCATTCTCATTCTCTCTCTCTCTCTCTCTCTCTCTCTCTCTCTCTCTCTCTCTCTCTCACACACACACACACACACACACACACACACACACAGATTCTCTCCTAGAACACACACACAAACATACACACATAAATGCGTACATTTAATTTTTTTTTCTTAAAAATCCCTCTTTCTGACCTCAGGAAGAACTTTTATGTATGCATGATGGTATTAAGACTGTAAATGTAAACAACCATACAAGTCAGCCAGGCCACAATCATTTTAGTTCGGCACACATTATTTTTGGCCCAACCAATCTTTCAAAGTTATTATGACGATGCTCTGAATTGTTTCACTCATAAAAATAATGAGCTGTGCCACCAATAACTATCCCAGAATTGCTCATATGTAAGATCTGGATTAGATCATTTTTGGTGAGAACCTTTGACCTTCAGTTCTGATGGCCATCAAACTGGGTGGTTCTGTACATTTACTTGAATTAACAGTATTTCCACTGATATTAATTCAGGGAGCCACTGGGACTGACTCTGCTGGGTGCCAAATAAGACTTGGCTATTCTTATGACATTGGATCCAGTGAGAGAGTTTCCCCGGTTCCAATCTAGAGACAGGCAAGTTGTTTATATATTCATCTTACGGTGACCAGGATGAGGATGCTGGAGTCAGTTTTTTAAAAGAGGGGATTTTTTCAAAGAAGGACATAAGAGCCCTTGTGGTGCTCCACAACTGGTAAACTTGTTAAATGGAGCCCCGTCTCTAGGCAGAGGGGGGGGCGGGGGGGGGGCTGAAATTTAAAAATTCTTCATCATTACCAACTTCCATCTGCTGTGGATTCATTAAATGTCTGCCTCTAACACTTCCTCCATTTCCACATCTTGAAAATGGGGAAAGTAGTTGCTATCTCACCTGGTGATTATTTATTTTAAAACAGTATATTTTCTTTGTCTTCTGGAACTTCAAAACAGTATTAAAATATCCCAGTGTTACAAAGTGACCCCCCCACACACTTTTCATGCAACTTTTTTTTAAATAAAAAGGACATTACCAGTACATCTGTCAGTAGTATAATATTAAATTAAAATCACTAATATTGTTCTGGTAGAAAAACATCTTGCTGCACTTTCTAAATTAAAAGGCAATGAAGGAAGACTTGCAAGACAAGAGAACTCTCCACTCCATTTTCAAGCTAAGTGCTTACTTTGTGTTGTAAGGGGCAGCCTTTTATATTTGTATTTGCTCAACAGCTTCCCTTTGCACCCTTGTGCTTGGGAGATTATTTCATTTCCCTGAGTTGCACCTTCTTCTTCTTCTTCTTCTTTGGGGCAAAACAGACTTCTGTATGTAGTGGCTTCAGAGAAATATGCAGGATGAAGTTTGCTTGGGCAGATGATATTGCTACGAGAAGGGATAAATTTATCCTTCTTCCCCCCAAAAGCGAAACTGGCTGGAGATTCTACAACTTCCAGCTTATGACCTGGGTCACTTATCTGACATCTGTAACAATTCAATAAACTGTTTTTAGCACTAGACTCAGTCCTTTCTCTTTAAGAATTCGGGGCTGCAAAATAATGTTTGTTCTAGCTGAAATGCCAGTTCCTCAAAATCAGTATCCTTATAAAGCTGCGGTCAAACAACATCTGGAAGGACAAGAGCTGGTCAAGTCTGTCCTCAGCCATGAAGGTTCAGTGGATGACTTTGAACTACTGGTTGAAAACAAGGTCTTTGAAGAGTTTGGTTGAAGGAGCTTCATCTTTTCCTTGCTCCTGAGTTAAGGAGACACTGCATTTCAAGATAAGTGCATAGGTTTTGCAAATAAAAACCCCCTGGTTACACTAAGCAAATATCCAGGGTCCCAGTAGGTGAATGGGCAGAAGGTCCCCTAGATGTCCCAGAAGAGCCAGATGACCTCATTTTTAAATCAGTGAGATCACGATAACATTTACACTCGGAGTCAAAATGTACAATATGTAACTGCACAATTAAGAATGTACTGGATTCCATCCCAAGCACCTCCAACCTAAATTCAGATGAGATACAGTATTTAGGAACCAGCTTTCCCAGAGAACTAGGAGAGCTGCTGCTATTCTGAGCAGAGAACACTTGGCTGAAAGTGCTGGAGCTTTGATTCAATATAAGGTTGTTCCTGTTGCAACACGAGACTCTTCTGGCTCCTTGTAATTTCTAGAATCCTGCCAAGTGGCCCCTCCCAACTTGCCCCCTTAGGAAGGACAAGAGATTGCAATCTTGCTCCTTGGTGCAATCCAATTTATTTCCATCTGCACAAATTTTGAACAAGCCATTTGTTGGTGAGAGAGGGTATGCATTTTAAAAAAGAGGCTGAGGCAAGATGACAGAAAAGAGGTAACCACTTGACCAGACAGGAGGCAACTACAAAATCCAATCAGTCAAACCCAGTCTGTTCAGCCAAGCTGCAGTGCTGGGAGGAAGAGAGATCTGCACCAGATCCACAGGGAGTAAAGGGCACTCAGCTGCCAAAGAAAAATCTAGGCTCCTTTCCCTGTAGACTAGAATGTTTTTTTCCTTCCTTTTACAAGCAACAATGCACAATTGAGGGAAAAGCAGTTTTGCAAAGAGGAGTTCTGGTCTCTTTGTGCCTGTCTCCACCAGAGAACATGAGATTGTTCTCGGCTGCAACCTAAGCCACTTCTAGAGGAGATGAGGCTTGGAGCCCTAGTTCCAGTGGGGTGTCTGCTTTTTCCTGAGCTGAAAAATACAATATCAGGAGATGGGGAGGCAAGAGGTCATTGTAGTTTTCAGTGATGCTGATCAAGCCATTCCAAGACAATAGATACCTTTTGCCCATTTAATCACTGTTTACAAAGCCTCAGGATCATTTCCCTGTTTCCTCTCCCTTCTCCACTGCTGGAGAAAAAACAAGCAAAGAAGTGAGCTTTTTGGATCACAGGAGTCCACTGCACATCTTGAACTCGCAACTCCAGAGCACTGGGGGGGGGGGAGAGGAAGATTTTAAAATTAACTTTATGGTTGTGCCTTTCCATTCTGACTGACGCAAATGCTTCCTCTCTCTTGATAGGTAAACAATGCTTCTCAGTACTAGTAAAACCTGCTCTGTTCCTATGGCCTACTTTGCTAATTAATTTTGTGAATTTCAGCAGCCGCTTAGAAGACAGCTCCTACAGAAGATAGATGGAAAATTATTTGCATTTTCAAAGGAGAGATAAAAAAATGTATTCTGGCAATCACATTGTTTACTTTATTTCAGCAAGGATTTCTGGCATTGGATTCAAATCTCTCCATTAAACTCAGAACTCATTCAGGGGCAGCCTTTTATATTTGTATTTGCTCAACAGCTTCCCTTTGCACCCTTGTGCTTGGGAGATTATTTCATTTCCCTGAGTTGCACCTTCTTCTTCTTCTTCTTCTTCTTCTTTGGGGCAAAACAGACTTCTGTATGTAGTGGCTTCAGAGAAATATGCAGGATGAAGTTTGCTTGGGCAGATGATATTGCTACGAGAAGGGATAAATTTATCCTTCTTCCCCCCAAAAGCGAAACTGGCTGGAGATTCTACAACTTCCAGCTTATGACCTGGGTCACTTATCTGACATCTGTAACAATTCAATAAACTGTTTTTAGCACTAGACTCAGTCCTTTCTCTTTAAGAATTCTGCAAAATAATGTTTGTTCTAGCTGAAATGCCAGTTCCTCAAAATCAGTATCCTTATAAAGCTGCGGTCAAACAACATCTGGAAGGACAAGAGCTGGTCAAGTCTGTCCTCAGCCATGAAGATTCAGTGGATGACTTTGAACTACTATCCCTCTCAACCCTATCCAGCAAAGCTGTTGGATTTTGGAGGTGGGGGGGAATTGGAGGAAAGGAATGCTATGTAGTCTTCTGTTTAAGCTCCTGGAATAAAGGTGGTATATACATCTAGCAAAACAAACATCCTGGTAACTGTTAATAGGCTGCTGCTGAAAGCACAAGCAAAGAATCATTGCAAAGGAAAAAGAGGCGGCATTTAAGGAAAGATGAATGAGAGGATTGTCCTAAACAGAAGGTTCCTCTGAAAGCTAAGATGAAATGACCTGCCCGGCAAAGTTGGTGCAAGGACAATTGGAGAACAGAGCGCAGCGCATGCCAAACTAGAAGTGCTATTGAGACAGCAGACCATGAAACTGCTTGGACATATTAATGTAAGAAGGCGGTTTAAGAAGCAGCCCTTTGACTTTACATTTGCCAAAGCCATGTCACTAGCACTAACATTACCCTTTCCCCAGCCCCTTGATCACTCACCAGAAGATAGATGCTCCCCTGGATAAGAAATATGAAACAGCACCGAGTCAGCTGCATATCTTCAGCCTCTTTGCTCTCCTCCTTAGCAATCTAAGAGAGAGCTCTGTAGTGCCTCCTTGTTTTTGTTTGGTGTGTGTGTATAGGGGGGGAGGATGATTTGGCCTCTGGCCTCCTAGGATCCCCCCATTCCAGGCTTTGTCTTGATAGTCTCTTTCCAGCCAGGCATGGGCAAAATCCAGCCTTCTTCTCACCCTCTGCAGCTGGAGATCTCCATGTGGCTGCTGCCTGCTTCCAGCTTTGCTGGAGACTCGGGCAAAACTCACTCCAGTCTCTCGCTGCTTCCCTCCCACTGACAGGTGCCACTGCTGGAGCAGCAGAGTCCTGCCTTAACCCTTGCCTGTCTGCAAACTTTGAAACTCAGCCCTGAACTGGAAACTTGCTGTAATACTTTGAAAAAGAGGAGGAAGAGAACTGAGTTCCAGCCCATTTATCCCCTGCACAGCTGGGCTGGGATCCAGGAAAGGAAAGCTGAAGAAAGGCAAGAAAGAATACAATAATGCTGTAGTTATCCAGTATTAAGTTGACCAGGAAGATTTTGATAGCATTTTATAGGGATGGGTGAAGATACAGATTATGATAATGTAGGAAAATAGGCAAGTTACTTCAACAAGAGATTTTTCTGAAGGGGAAAGAGATGTGACTGATCACAGGATTTGAAGGATTGCCTCTGATATCCCCAAACCAGCCACCCCAGCACTCTACTCAACCTTGCTGCCCAGGCAGAGGGGCTCTCAGCAAAATGCCACTTTTTTGGGGGGGGGGGGTATTTCCATACTATCTTATGAATGCACTATCTGCCAGATTCTCCTGCCCCCACTAATCCCCTCCTGATGTTCTTTTCCTTTCCCTCCCCCCTTTTTTCTCTGTTTTTTCTCTCCTTACACCATCCACCTTCCAATGCTTTGTTGAATTTCAAGGTCATTCTTTACCAACCTGTGTCCTCCACTTGTGTTAGGACTGCACCACATCTCTGAATCTCAAGTGTGATTTATACAGGGCTGGGCTGAAACATCCGAGGCTCTGAGATGGCAATACCTTCTGCCTCAACTATGGACAGTCTACTCTAGACAATCTCCTACTTAAAGCCTGATGAGGATGAATTGTGGGCTCCAGGTCCAATTTGCTGTAAAGGAGCTTGAGCAAGAGAACTTCCCAGTGAGTCATACCCATAATAAAAATATTAATTAAGCTTTTTTCTCTGATCATTGTTTATTTTAGTTCCTCCCCACCCCATCACTTAAGTTTTGATTCATTTATGCATTAGTGCTCTTATGTTTTAGCGGTGTAATCATTTAAAAAATTCATTTCATTTCCACTTCTTTTTCTCTGTGTAACACATTCCTTTTACAATAATGACTAGATATTGCATATTATATACATTAAGGATCATATGTAGTTTAAACCAGCAGTGCTATTGTTTGGTGGGTAAACAGAAGCTTTGCATGCCAAAGATCCCAAATTCAATATTTGCTTCTTCAAGTGGGGCTAGAAAAAAAAACAAATGTGGGTGAAATCTTAGGAGAAATGCTTTGCCAAAATTGATTGTCTTGAACTGATAGGAACAATAGCGTGATTCCATAATCCATTCTAGGATTACATTATTCAGGTAGCCAGACTGCCTTATCTCAGAAGAAAACTTCTCTTTTCTGAATTAACATGAAGATGCAGGTGTGCCTTTTCCTAAATGAAACCAAAAAGCAAGTAATTTCTACTTAATAATAGCTTCTGACCTCCAGTAAAACCCAGTCTGTCCTGGTACTACCACTGGGCAGCAGAATGCAAGGCTAGGGCATGCTTTTCAACCTTGGCAAGTTTAAGATGAATGAACTTCAACACTTAGTATGTCCCAGCAGCATGTTGGCTGGGAAACTCTGGGAGTAGAAATCCATATAGCTTAAATTTGCCAAGGCCGACAAATACTGATGTAGGGACAAATGATGCATTCCAGTAATCTCTTACATGCTGGACTGAGCATTTGGATCTGGGTAGAAAAGAGCAACAATAAACTTCTTGCAAGTTTAAGAAAAATGAGCCTTTCTTCTTTGAAAAAATAAATAAATAAATAAATAAATAAATAAATAAATAAAGAAAGAAAGAAAGAAAGAAAGAAAGAAAGAAAGAAAGAAAATAGGGTGCTTAAGGACACCAGGAACTGATCATTTCTCGTCAAGGATATTTTCAAGCTATTTCTCTACATCTTGGATTGGTCTTTAGCAGATAGCAAAAGGAGCACAGCTCAGCCTACCAAACTGGTGTAGGAGAATCAAATACCAACACTTTCTTCAAATGATACTGTGGGGACTTTCATACTGGTAATATGATTAATGAAACCATGATTTATTTTGCATTGGCTGACTTAAAAGAGGATAGAAAGGTTTCTACAAACAGAGAAAGAGATGGTCTTTTATCAATGCAAAGAAGTTGGAGATGGTGCTTCTGTTCAATGGACACAAAATATTGAACACTGAAAACCTAAAAATCAGTTTACAGATCCTCCATTTAAAAGGCTCTTGGGAAGTGTTGGTTGGGAAGAGTTTTTATCTGAGATATTGGATACAATAAATACTTCCACACTATGGAACATGAGAATTGTACTCCACACATTGTAAAGATGGTGGCTATTCTCCGAAGATTGGGCTGGACAAATAATGGGCTAAATGGAGCCATGGTCTTGCTCCATGACTAGGTTTTGTCACTACATTAATCCACATTTAATGTTCCAAGCCAGTTGTAATTTGTTTAATAAACCATGGTTAAAGAAATCATGGCTTCTATGTAAAGACACATTCAAATCATTAGGCAAATAGGGTTAAGATCTGGGTTAAACAATCTGCTGTCCTCCCAGGATTGTAGTCCTCATTTCCTATGAATCACAATTAGCATAACTGATGGCAACAGATTGTATATATTTGGTCAAAGTTGATGATCTTTGTACTATGAGTTCAATGCGATAGCAAGATTCCACTGATACATTTCCATGAGAAACAATTTAGCCAAGGAGGCAAAAGTGGTCTGTGGTGGTTTTCTTGCAGATATTTCATTACCAAGCTAGGTAATATCATCAGTGCTAGAAGGGAGTGGGGTTTACTCTTATTTTTATATACTAGTGGCTTGCCCTATCAGTGTTGATTGGAGTGTCTTGGTAGTTTCTTGATTAGGTTATTGTTTAATGATTGTCTGTTGATTGGGATATTGTTTACTTGACTGTTAGTTTAATATTAATCCTGATGATAATGAAGTGATAGGCTTTGGATGATTCTTCCTCCCTTAATCAAGAGGAGATAGATGGGGTCCATGACTGGAGGAAGACTATTCTGTTTCAAATCTGATTTGAAACATGAGATATGGAGGTTCTCAAAAGAACTAACACTTGATTAACAATTAACCAGTGGAACAGCTTGCCTTCAGAAATTGTGAGTGCTTCATCACTGAAGGTTTTTTTTTTTATTGAAAATTTTTTAAAAGTTTTACAAAAAACAAGAAAAAACAACAACAAAGAATAAAACAACCCTCCTCCAAACCCTCCCAAACCACCCCCCTCCATCCCCCCCCGAGCTTCCCAGAACTGAATATAGGCTTAATTAAAATTTTAAAAATTCTAAAAAAAATTAATCAACTTATAAGGTAATTAACAATAAAATATATATAACAATAAAAACATATACATTAAAAAAATACTTAGAAAAGAAAGAGAAAAAAAAAGAAAAAAAGAAATAAAGGAAAAAAAAGAAAGAAAGAATACAATCTACAAAATATCAAATTTAAATACAAGTTATGAAAAAGCTAAATGGTATTTTTTTATATCCAATTTATATTGTATGAAATTTATCCATTTTTCCCATACGGCAAAAAATTTCTCTTGTGATTGCTCCGTTAAAAAAGCCGAAATCTTTGCCATTTCCGCCAGATAAGAAACTTTAAAAAACCACTCTTGCAAAGTAGGCAAAGATTCCTTCTTCCAATATTGCCCTACTAACAGCCATCACTGAAGGTTTTTAAGAAGAGACTGGACAGTCACTTGTCTGAGATGGTATAGGTCAGCGGTTCTCAACCTGTGGGTCGGGACCCCATTTGGGGTCGAATGACCATTTCACAGGGGTCGCCAAACAATGGAGTCCGCCATTTCCCCCCCTTTTCCTTAGCTGTGCTACTCCTTTTTATTCTATTGGCTTTTGAATGCCAATAGAATAGACTCTCTTGAATAGAGTCTAATTCTATTGGCTTTCAAAAGCCAATAGGAATTGTCCAGGCTGTCTCTGCCCTGCTGAGCCCGCCAAAAGTCCCACTGCAAACAGTGCTGCAAGTTGTCTGCAGTGAAGGGGAGCTGTCTGGAAGTTTCCGCCCCTCCCTGCTGAGTAACTACTAAAAATGTAAGTAAAAGAGGGCCAGGGGTGGGAGGTGGGAGGCCGGCGGGTGCAGGGAGGGTTGCTGGCATGTATGGGGCCCGGCGCGTGCCTTACCTCCCTTGGGCTAGGCCAGCTGGTGGCCCAGTCGGTGGTTGGCCTGCGCCATCTCTGCCGCTTGCCAGCTACGCCTCGGCCGGCGCAGGGGGCAGCACCACGCATGCACGGCACTCCCGGGCAGGGAAAGTCCTCGACTTACGAACGGTTGGGTAGCCCTCAACTTACAACCGGTTGGGGATCGCGGCATTAATAAGGTTGAGAACCACTGGTATCGGTTCTCCTGCTTGAGTGGGGGGCTGGACTAGAACACCTCCAAGGTCTACTCTACTCTACTCTACTCTACCCTACCCTACCCTACCCTACTCTACTCCACTCCACTCCACTCCACTCCATTCTTGATTTAGATTTATCTGCAACTGTATGTAGGCATTGATGTTGCGAGAGGGTTGATGGGTAAGCTTAGGTTATAAATGATTGCAGATGGGCCAATGTGCATACCTCACAAGTCTCAACTAAGTGTTGTGTGGAGATGCAGGTCCTGTAAGCTGATTGGTTGATCCGACTTCCGTTTGGTAGGTAGGCTAAAAAACAAGATATATTGTTGTTTAAGCAAATCCTAGTCAGAACATTAACATTCACAGAAGTATAAATGTGACAGCTATGCAACCGTTTCCAAAGACAGACACATACATTCCCTGATGTGCAGTGACACAGAAGTCTAAATCATATCTAACAAGGAACACAGAAGCCAAGTGTAAGCATATAGTAAGTTCCATATTAGGGGACTTCTGTGCCTTTAACAGTTACATTTCAGATGAAAATTAAACAGATGCAGAATTTTCTAGTACAGAAGAATACATTGCTTTAATTTCTGCTTACAATGCAGCTGATAAATGCATAGGACCCACAGGAAGTTTTGTTACAA